GGTCGGGTGGTTCGCTACTCTGCTTTGTGCGCCGCCCTGTCCTCCCCGACCCCAAGGAGCGTGCCAGTGTCCTCCCCAGAAAGGGGCTTCGCGGAGCGCCTGGAGACGGCCCTCCGGATGCCCGTCACGTGGGCTGTCCGGGCTTGCGAGGAGCATGGGCGTGCTCCGCGTGGGACTGTGTCCCGGCCTCACCCAGGAGATGGTCCAGCTTCTGAGGAGTCGCGGGATCAAGACAGGTGACCGTGCGTTCGCGTGCCAGGAAGCGCGCGCCCCGCAGACGAACGGCCGTGGCAGACTGCGGGGCCCGGACATACTGGCAGGACGCTGCCCTCTCCACCTGGAGGGCCACCCCTCAACTGCCCCACACTCTTGTAGAGAAGTCGGGGAGCGTAGGAATGGGGGTGCCCAGTCCTGGGGCAGGGCAGGACACCTGCGGCGTGTCAGGGACTGCGCCAGATCTGCGGCTCTGCTGTTCCGCCCAAGCCTCCTGAGACTGCGCGCTCGGGGCTGGAATGGATGCCCATTTTACAGATGAGAAGCGCCAGGCTTCCTCTAGCCAATCGGCCCTCGTGCTCTGTTTTCAGTGGTGGACCTGGTTTCTGCAGACCTGGAGGAGGTAGCCCAGAAGTGCGGCTTGTCTTACAAGGTGAGCTCACGGTCTCCACTGTCCAAATCTGGTGTCTTCCCGTGCCCATCCCTAAGCCGCGAGAGCAGAGGTGGATAAAGTGGAGGGGTGGATGAGCCCCTGGGCTGGCTGCTAGGGCTCCTGGCTGAGCAGCCCCTGCAGCTTTGGAGCCTGGTTGCCCCGTCCCCTTGGCAGGCCCTGGTCGCCCTGAGGCGGGTGCTGCTGGCTCAATTCTCAGCGTTCCCCTTCAATGGCGCTGATCTCTATGAAGAACTGAAGACGTCCACCGCCATCTTGGCCACCGGCATCGGAAGGTTAGTATATGTGCTTGGGAATGGCAGCCTAAGAGATGCCAAGGCGAAGTAAGTGAAGCAAAGAGTTTGGGTGGGGGGGGTCACAAGAAGTTATGTGGAGGTTAAGGCAGGTGGATCAAGTCCTGGACCTGGAGTTTTGAAAAGCACACTGGTCATGTTTGTGCGGGCCCAAAATTCTGAGGGGAGAATAGAGGAGAGAGGATTGCAGCGTGACTTCTCATTTTCCTTTTCTCTTTTATTTTCAGAGAGCACATGTACCCTATATATTACCCAAAAAAGGAGTTTCTCCCAGGGTTGAGGATGATTGCCTGAGGATACACTGTCCAAGTCACCCCTGAATGTTGTGCACTGAACTTTTACAGGTTTTATGATAATTTTTATTTTATTTTGCCAGAGACCACATGTGCTGCATCCTTTTTTCTCTATTTCTCTTTGCCATCAGAATCTTAGGCATGTACTCACACATATTTGGCTTGTTTTTTAAAGCCAAGGGGCTGAGATTCAAATGGCAGTTGACCATATGGAATATGGTTCCCTTAACCGGTGTGCTATGGAGCAGGCCCTTACTGAAAACGTTTGGAAGATTGAGTGGGACCAGCAGATGGCATAATGGTTACATTGCTAGACTCACGTACTTGACCGTGGATTGAGTCACATACCAGTGGCTTAAAACACGCCAGGAGTGTGTGTGTGTGTGTGTGTGTATGTGTGTGTGTGTACGTGTCCACAATCCTGAGAGGAGAATGGAGTTTTTTTTAGAGGAGAATGTAGGAGAAGGGATTGTGGCGTGGCCATCCCCCCCGGCAGGTGATTTCTTGCTGTCTGTCTTTCCTTCCCCAGTGAGCGCATGTGCCCTATAGCAAAAAGTCTCCCTAAAAACATACGCATGGAAGAGTGATAGAAGATGAAGGAGGAGTGTATTTGGGCATAAGGATGTTCATAAAACAAAAAGTCTAATGAGTCTAGGTAACATTTTGAGCTATGTGAGGTGTATAATCCTGAGAAGCCACAAAAGTGCTTATTCGTATTCTTTTTTTAGTTGCATTCGTGTTCACCAAAGAGAGACGGGAAGGGAGAAAGCACTCCCTAATAGGACATAATTGCATCCCAACCCCTTCTCCATTTCTCCATCCTGTCGGGATTTGGGGTATGCAGGTACATGCACCTGGTGTGTTTTTTCAAGATGCCAGGGCTGGAATTCGACCCATGGTTGACTATGTGATATGCAGTTCTGTGAACCACTATACTACAGGGCCAACCCAAGTTTTATTTCCATACGGTGTTGACTTAGGTAGACTGAAATCTGTTTTCAGGCAAAACTGGTCTGTTTGGGGATCTTTTGGCTTCTTTAAAGTTTCAGTTGATGATATGACGTTTTAGCATGAGTGACTCCATTTTGGTCTAATTTGGTCTAATTCGTTGGGGCTTAGTGCAGGAACTTAGTTTAAACAATGGTCTCCTGTAATTTTTCTGTAACAGGAAGAAGGTGAGAAGCAGGAGGAAATAGCTGCCTCTCAGCTCCGCTTTTGATGCCAAAGGCTAGAGGGAACAGGAGTTGTTTTTCATTTTCACTCATTAGAGGGCATGTGTGCTCACCAGAAATGGAGAAGGAGAAGGCACCCTCTCCACCACGGGACAAGGTCACACCACCGTCCCTTCTCCATCTCTCCATCCTTTCAGGATTTGGGGCATGCACACATATGTTGAGTGAGCCCCTCAAGCTGCCAAGGCCAGGACCCAGGCTGCATTCAGCCATGTGGGATTGGGCTCCCTTAACCACTAAGCTCTGGGACCAGCCTAAGTGTTTTTTTTTTTCCTCCCTAAAGCAGGGATGAGGGCAGTGTGAACAGATGAAGAGGGAAAGGGTCAGGACTTCCCAGTTCTCTTACCCTATAACAGGGTTGTAGAGTTTCTCAGCATTGGCACTACTGATATCTTGGGATAAGTAATTATTTGGGACAGAGCAGGGGCTGTCTTGTGCATTGTGGGTTGTTTAGCAGCATTTTTGGCCTCTACCCACTAGATGCTAGTGCACCTCCCCTCCCCTTCTCTAGTTGTGACTATCAAAAATGTCTCCAGATGTGACTAAAAGTCCTTAAGGAGGTAAGACTACCCCGGGGCTGAAAACCACTATCCTATAATACGAGATGTCCGTATCTTGTCATTCAGTAGATTCAAGTAACTCTTCTCTGGTCCTCCCTCCTGTTCTATTTGAGGATAGGGCAGGAGTGAGCAGGGCTAACATTTCCTGAGCACCTTCTACATGCAGGCGCTGACTACCAGTTATAGGTAGTATCATTAGGGACCTGACATGTTAGTGACGATTAACTCCAGTTGTGCTTAACCTAATCAGAGTGAGCGCCATAGGTGGGACTCAAGCCCCGGGGGGCCCTTGAACTCAGTTCCATCACCAACTCTGAAGCAGTGGGGAACAAATTGCTTACACAGGGGCTGGACATTGGTGCAGTCATAAAACACAACACTTTGCAAGACCAACCCACATGGAAAGGTTTTGGGGTTGTGTCTGGATGCCTTCCTGAGTAAGCCAGGTGTGTGTGCCCACTGTCTAGGGCTGGCTGAGGCTGGAGGTGGGTTATGCCATCAGGACCCTGTTGGAGAGTGCCATATCTGTCTCTGTCTCTCTCACTCCTAGAAGAGAGAAACTTTAAAAACAAAAAAGCTTCCATGAAGGCACTGTTATATCCCGCCATGTTGTTTGGGGAGGGGAAAAGTTGGAAGACAACAGGCATTTTCTGGCCAAGTGCCTCTAACCTCTTTCCTGGCCTGCTTGTGCAGAATTCGATGAATAACTCTGTCACTACAGAGGTCTTTGGATTGGTGTGGCCCTTGCTGTTTTCGTAACACATTCTCTTGGCAAGGTGCATCCAGTGCGGTGCTTGCTCCTGCTGGCTGGGGGTCTGCGTTTGTAATCCATCATGCACTGGCTGCGTGCCTACTGGGTGCTCAGTGTGAGTTTTGTTGAACAAACCTCACCGAGTGCCAGATCTGTGCAGATGATACATAACAAATGAGGGAAGGCCCCTGTGCTTAAGGAGTGTGGCGTCTAGTGGGTTAGAAAAAGAGCAGGTGATCACAGAGGGTAAGCACACAGGGAGGCACCTCAAGGAGCCCACGTTTTTGGAAGCAGATTGGCCTTTGGGCTTGGGGTGCCTATAAAGCCCACATATAGAGAAGGAGCAGTGAAGTGGTGAACCAGCAGGATTGCAGCAGCAGGGGTTTATTGCAGGGGGGATCAGCGAGGTTCAGAAAAGCTCGAAGGAGATAGGTCTTTGCTGAGTGCTTACTGGGACCAGGCACTGTGCTCACCACTTCCGGATACATTGCGGGTGCACATGTTACCATTAAAGCAATCCGTGAATGATAAAGAAACTGGGATATAGGTTACACAGCTTGTTCAGGATCGTGCTGCCAGTAAAGGGCAGTCCAGGCACTGAGGTCATGTCTGTCACATCTTTTTCTTTTTCTTTTTTTTTTTTTTTTTTTTTTTTTTTGTGG